CAAAGGGCAGCTGCAGGCAAAAAAACCTGCCAAGGGTCCATCCCACCACGCACAGCTGGTGAGTCGGGATTGGGAACGAGTTCCCACTCATTAGCTGAGCTGTGGGAGCACAGCCTGGGTGTGTGCTCAGCCTGCCCAGCTGTGAAGTGCCTTTGCTTCGAGGCAGCAGGACACACCATTCCAGCCTGTTCCCTGAGCAGAGTGACCCTGGCAGCTTGTTGGGACCTTGGGATGACTGTCCACAGCTCCCAGCCCTCGTGGAAGCTCTTCCCGAGTCACTTCTTGGAGCAGAGTGATTTAAACACTTCTCTGTGACTGTGCAGGCTTAAACAGGTCCTGCCCCCTCACTTCTCGTTCTGCCTTCAGTGGTGCCAGAAAACCTGTTTTTGGGGCTGAACCAGATGAGGGGAATGCTCTGGGTTAAAAATAATTCCCCTCCCCTTTTTTAGGGTTATTTTTAACTTGGATCCGTTCCCTAATCCAGTTTGGCACATGCCCCATGTGAGCACCTCCTGTTGATGCTCTTCCTGACAGAACATCCATGGAGCCACAAACTTCATTTTACCCAGGATATTTTTTTTTTTTATCTTAATTTTCTTAATTTAACTTTGGGCTGGCGGATCTTTGTGTCTGGAAGGTGGCAGCTTTCAGGAGCTGTGAGTGATTCAAGTCAGTGGATTATAACAGACATTTTGCAAAGCTTTCAGTGGAGCTTGGCATGTTAATGACACTGTCAGCAGCATGGGGTGATGGTCTGTAGGTGGAGAGCTCGTTTGTATCTCTGTGATTGCAAATTATGCTTTCATTTGCAGCAGTTTGGAGCTGCTTGAGCAACACAGCCCTGTTCCTCTTGCTTTATCATGTGAATGGGATTATTTAGTCCTGGGATGTCAGAAGGATGAGGGAGCTGGGTCTGCCTTTGTCGGCCAGGCCTTGTGAAAGAACAGAGAGAGTTTTACAAAAAGCAGCAGAAAATTTTTGGTGTAACAGGAGCACCTTTTGAGTAGCTGAGTCCTGCATGGGACTGAGCACCCTTTCCTTGCAGATGCTGCTGTCCTGAACAACGTTGCCCACACATTTGGCCTAATGGACACAGTCAAGAAGGTTCTGGACAACAGGAAAAACCAGACAGAGCAAGGAGAGGAGCAGTTCCTTTACACACTGGCAGGTAAAGTGCCTAAGAAGGTTTCACATCCTGCTGCTGCTCTTGGGAACAAAGATGACTTTCCTTCCACACAACCCCAATGCATTTCCCTTCTCACTGTGTCCTGTAGGATCTGTCCTTACCCCTGTCCTCGTCCCCTATTGCCCTGGATAAATGAGGTCACTGTGCTGCTTCTGGCTCCCAGCGTTCCCACCAACATGGGAGGAAGGATGGGGTTGAGGGAGATGTTTCACTGACCCTGGGTCCTGTTCCTATGTCCACTGCAAGTGCTTGGCTCTGGGGAGGCAACCCAGCCGAGCTCTGGGAGCAATTACAACTGCCCAGGGGGATTTGTCCACTCTCCTTTATATGTGGGTTTAGCTTGGGGAGCAGAAATGCCCATCTCCTCACCAGCAGGAGTAGCCAGCAGGGATGGAATGTTACCTGTGCCTTATCTGACAGCCAGAACATTGACCTGTGCGGGTGGCAGGAGAACCTGGCCTTTTCCTTCCGGGTAGTTTGATCCTGAGGGAGATGCCAAGGTCACGCTGGCTGGGTGGTTGGGTGTCCCCTGCCACCACCCTGGGGGGCGATGGAGCCCCAGGAGCTCCCAGTGCCCCCAGCCCGACACGCTGTTCCCTTTGTAGACCTTGAGCGGCAGCTGGAAGAGCAGAAGAAACTCGCCAGGGACCAGAAGGCCAAGTCCCAGACCATCCAGAACGTGGTGCTGATGCCCGTGAGCGCTCCCAAGCCCCCCAAGAGACCCCGCCTGCAGCGCCCGGCCTCTGCCACCGTGCTGAGCCCCTCCACCCCCCTGCAGCAGCCCCAGTTCACCGTCATCTCCCCCATCGCCATCGCGCCCGTCGGGCAGCAGTTCTCCGTGGGCAACATCCCCGTGGCCACCATCAGCCAGGGCTCCAGCCCCGTGACTGTGCACACCCTGCCCTCCGGCTCCCAGCTCTTCCGATACGCCACCGTGGTGTCCTCCTCCTCCTCCTCCTCCTCCTCCTCCTGCTCCTCGTCCAAGAGCAGCTCCTCGGACACGGTGACCCTGCACCCGTCCTCCAGCCTGGCGCTGCTGAGCTCGGCGGCCATGCAGGACAGCGGGGCCCTGGCCAACGTGGCGGCCGTGGTCAACCCCGTGGAGCTGGTGGCCATGGAGTCGGGCATCACCTCCACCATCCAGGCCGTGGAGGGCACCTCGGACGACGGGCAGACCATCATAGAGATCGACCCCGCACCGGATCCCGAGGCGGACGCGGACGAGCCCGAGGGCAAAGCTGTGATCCTGGAGACGGAGCTGAGGACTGAGGAGAAAGTGGTGGGAGGAGACGTGGAGGATCACCAGCACCAGGTCCATAACGTGGAGATTGTGGTCTTGGAGGACTAGTGGGGAAGGCAAAGCATCAGTTTGGGGAAGAGTTGGGAATTTGTCTTATTTCAGGCTTCTCTTTTTTTTTTTTTGTGTTAAGCATCTTTTCCAGCCACCCCATTTGTTTCCATGGATATTTTTTCATTGTACTGTATATAATATATATATATATATAATTTTGTTTTTTAAAACAACAAAAAAAAAAAAAGCTGGAGAAACACATGAGACCTGAAAAAGGCTCCATCTCCGTGGAGCACTGAACAATCCTCCCCTGTTTGCAGGGTCAAGGAGAGACTGGATCTCTGCTGGACAACCCAACTGGGAGGAACCAGCCACGCACTTGGTGCTTCTGCTCCGGGGCTGCCCCGGCCCCAGAGACTTTATCTGAGAGCCAATAACCAGTGGCTGGAGCATGGATGTGGCTGTGGGAAGGGGTGACGGATTTAGGGTGGAACAGGTACCTCATTTGTATTTTTATTTTCCCCAGGGAAGGGAGTTCTTTCGGACACTTCGCTGTCACCTCAGCTGGGATTTTTTTTATTGTTATTCTTGCTTTGGGGAGCCTGACAGCCCGTGAATTCACTGTCCATGTTCTCCTCCTCCCCTTCCTCCACACAAATTGTTTTTATATCTCTATTTTTTTGTATTTGTTTACTCTCTCCCTTCCCGCTGCCCAGATTGCCCAGCTGCAAAGCCCTGGGGCCTCCTCTCCAGGCTCCCTGTATCCCAATCCCACTTCTTCCCGTGGCACTTTCCCCCCCATCCCTTTCCCTGCCTGGCCAGGCTCGGTGCTGCCGCTTGGAGACTCCGAGATCACTTTCAGCCTTTCACAGAAAGGCAAAAAAACCACCGACTCAAGCTCAAACCCAGACCCTCCCCTTGGCTGCTCAGCGCCACAGGGACCTTTTTTGGGGTGTACAAAGCATGTTGTGCTGTTGCTTTCCGGGAGAGCTGGATCCTGGATTGGGACAGCTTCTGTTTACACTGTGTGCTGAGGCTGCTCCGTGCTTGTCGCTACTCGTTTTGGTGGTTTTATTTTTGTATTATTATTATTATTATTACTATTATTATTTTTTTTTCCTTCTTTCTTCCTATAATCTCTTGGCAGGATTAGAACTGGCACGTTGCTGAAATAATGTGCACCCCACTGTTTTCCCTCTTTATTTTTCGGTGGGAAGATGGAAATGGGGAAGCGCCGGGTGCCTTTAGAGCTGCGGAGGTTTGGGAGGGGGCTGGGAGGGGGGAGCTGCTTGGCTGGAAATATTAAGCAAAACAACAGGCAAAGGAAAAAAAAACCCACACCTGGGGAGGGCGGGGGGAGGGCAGGAAGATGTGTTTGGCTATTTTTTTGCATTAAAAGGAAAAATGGAACAAAGCTCCAATGGTTTATTCGTGGAGAGGTGGCAGGCAGTGGCTCTGTCACCTCCAAGTCAGGGTGGGATGGGCAAGGATCCCTCTGCTTCAGTGTGGGAGGAGTGGTTGATGCTGCTCAGACTCTGGGAAGTGTTTCCTGGCTTGGGATGGAGGTGGGAAGAGCTGTGGGAGTCAGATCCCACGTTCAGCCTGGAGGAGAGAAGGCACCAGGGAGACCTTGGAGTCCCTTGCTGTAACTAAAGGGGCTCCAGGAGAGCTGGAGAGGGACTTGGGACAAGGGATGGAGGGACAGGACAAGGGGGAATGGCTTCCCACTGCCAGAGGGCAGGGTTAAATGGGATATTGGGGAGAATTCTTCCCTGTGAGGGTGGGCAGGCCCTGGCACAGGTTGCCCAGAGAAGCTGTGGCTGCCCCTGGATCCCTGGAAGTGTCCAAGGCCAGGTTGGACGGGGCTTGGAGCAAACTGGTCTAGTGGAAGGTGCCCCTGCCCATGGTAGGGGGTGGAATGAGATGCACTTTAAGGTCCCTTCCTTTCCCTCCTGTGATTCCATGGGTTTGGATCAAGGATCCACTTCCTTCCACATCCATCCCCTCTCGCTCGCTCCATGCGAGCCTTGACCTGAGAGGGACGGGGCCTTGTATTGTCGAGCTGGGGACGGCGGGGAGCCAAACTCAGGCTGTGCTGAATCCGCCGCCGTGCCCCGAATCCGCCGCGTTTCGCCCCAAAGCCGCCCGCAGGGCCGCCTGGCCCTTTAAGAGCAGTTCCCGCTCCCGGCCGAGCGGGGGCGCTGCCGCTCCCCCCCTTCCCCGCGGTCCTCCTCCGTCCCGGCATGCCTCGCGAGCGCCCCCCCTTCCCCCCCCCCCTCATTTCCCGCCATTGTGCCTGGGCGCGCGCGGCGCCGCGTGACCGGGCGGGGGGAGCGCGAGGCGGCGGGGCCCGGGGGCCATAGAGACCGGGGGGGCGGGGGGATAGAGCGTCCCCCCCTCGCCCCGCTCCGCTCCGCCCCGCCGGCCGCCGCCGAGTCCGCCAAGGGGCCGTCCCGCAGCCCCCGCCGGGCCCGGACAAAGCGCGGCCGCCGCCGCCTCCTCCTCCTCCTCTCCCGCCCCGCCCCGCCCGCAGCCCCCGCCGCGGAGCCATGTCGGCCAGCAGCCTCCTGGAGCAGGTACGGAGCCTCCCCCTGCCGCCCGCGCCGCCGGGCCGAGCTCCACCGCGCCGGGCCCAGCGCGGGGGGAGCGCCCCGGGGCGGCCGCGGCCTCGCCGCGCTCCATTGTGCTGCGGCGGGGCCGGGCCGCGCCTGGGCTGGGCCCGGGGCTGTTCCCCCGCTCCTTGAGCCGGGCCTGTCCCGCACCGGGCCTGTTTCCCCGCCAGGCCCGGCTCCGTCCCCACCGGGCCTGGGCGGCCCTCGCTGGGCTGCGTTTCCTCCCCCCCGGGTGTGTTTTCCCCCTTCCTTCCCCCAGGCCGGGTCTGTTTTCCCCCCGAGCTCGTCCTTCCTCCTCCCGGAGCCGCTTCTCCCCCTGACTCACCGCTCTCCTTCTCTCCCTCCCTCTCTCCCCCCGCGCCGCCGCTGCTCCAGAGACCCAAGGGCCAAGGCAACAAAGGTGAGAGCCCTGGGCAGGGCTGGGAACGCGGGAGGGAGCGAGGGAGGGAAGGAGGGCCTCCCCAAAATCTGCCGGGAGCCAGGAGGGGAACAAACCCCGCGTGGCTGCGGGAAGTTTGCAGGTGTTGATTGTGCTGCGTGCGGTGTGTTAGAGCCGGCGGGAGTTCGTCGTGTCGCAAGGGTTTGGCTTTAAATACTTTTTGAGTCGGTAAACGTTGGGGAGTTTGTTGCACGTTGTTTTTCTGAAGTTTCACGTCTCTCTTCAGTGCAAAACGGCTCTGTGCACCAGAAGGATGGGCTGAATGATGACGACTTTGAGCCCTATCTGAGCCCCCAGGCCCGCCCGGTGAGTACCGGGAGCACCGGGTGCCTGTTGGCTTCCTGCTGCTCCAGCAGAGGGGAATTTCGCCTCCTTGCATGTGTTTCCCATCTCCCCTGACTGCATTTTGATCTTTGCCAGCACCTTATATCCCACCCTACACCTGCATTTCCCACCCTACACCTGCATTTCCTGCAGGCAGGAAGCACTGACTCTGACTTGAGGTTGTGGTGGGTGGGTGAGGTAGGAAGGGGTTTAGCTGCTTTTTGAGGCTGTGAGAACTTCCTCCACGTGGTGTTCAGCTCCTTTTTTTTTTTTTTTTTTTTTTTTTTCCTCAACCTCCAAGTCACCATTTCTGCTCTTTCAGTTTTGCTCTTGTGCCTTGTGTTGGTGCCTGGCTCTTTGCGCCACACAGATGTGCTGAGCCGGGTTGGGAAGTTGCCTCACACGAGGCTGCTGTGCTCAGCAGGGCTTTTGGAGGATCAGATCAACCTTCTTATCTCTGCACCGAGTCAACTGACAGTGCCTGTCATGGTGATTTCTGTTTTTCACCAAAAAAAAAAAAAAAAAAACACTAAAAACACCCCGGAGCCCGCGGGTGATAAAGAGTGTTGAGACTTTGTGAGAACCCCGGATGGAGGGTCTGTGACCAGCCCCTAGAATTCAGGCTCCCAGCTACTTTTCCTCCTCACTTTCCCTTAGATTGGCTCCCCTGTTAACTGGTTTTTGTTTGTTTTCCTTAATGAGCTGCAGGGGAGTGACACAGAACAGATGGAGTTCAGCTGATTAGATGTAGGAGTGAGCACCGGAGATAAACATCTGTAGTAGCACCAGAGCTCTCAGTTCGTTCTCTTGGCTTCTCTTTTCAGTTGTGATCAGTAAAAATAAGCTCTTCTGGTGTCCCTTTTCTTTATTTTTGCCCACTTTTACCAGTCAGTACATTGTGGTTTTTTTCATGTAAAGGTGATGCCTGTTTTATTGGGACACTGTTTTCTGCCTCAGTGAAATTTTCAACAGGTATTTTCCTTTTTTGTGCTAAAGGTCTGAGGGTAAATGTTCTTTGTGTCCTGTCAGCTGTTCACAATCTTCAGAGTTCACCTGTCCATCGAGATAACTCGCTGTATTCTGCTCCCTAAAAAGTTACAAGCCTAAATTCAGCCTTCACAGGGTGAAAGAGTGTGATTGCTTTCTCAAGTCTTGAATAAAACCAGCTATTTTTCTGGTAGCTGTCATTTAATGGTGGGGTTTTTTTCTATCCCAGTTATCAACATCCCCAATTTCCAGATTCCTTCTGAATGTGGATGGTATTTTTTCTATTTAAATCTAAAGAGAATGAGAGTTAACTACAATTTTGAAGCAACACGATCTTTTACTCTATTTTGCATGTTTGATGAAGAACTTACGGATCTTTAATTTCCTTTGGTGTGTCAAAAACGCATTTTAAAAATCAGGAAGTGATTGGAGGTGCCCCAGGAGGCAGGAGTTGAGCCAGGAGGGAGGGGAAACCACCGAGTTATCTTGGAGTGGGACCTTTGGGTGACTCTGTCTCAGTTCCTCGCTGTGCTGTGGTGCTCCTCAGCTCCATAAAACAGAATCCAAACCCTGAGAGGCCGAGCCTGGAGGGAGGCACAGTTCTGCTCAGAAATACAAAGGTATCGAAGTTGCTGGAGGTGGCAAAGGGAGAAGTCAGAGATGTGGCTCTGGACAAGGAGTTAAAGGAATTTTGGGGTTGCTTCCCAAGCTCTCCACACTCACAGGAGGTCAAGTTGTGCAGTTTCTCTGTTCCTCATTCCCTGGCTGCTCTTGGAGGTGTGGCTGTTTCTGCCAGCCCCTCGATGGGGTCGCTGTGGGTTTTAAAGTCAATGATTCTTCAGCCCTTGAAAAAACAGAAGCACTAGGTCAGGTTCACTTAGTTCTGTGGTCTTAGGTGAAGGGGGAACAGCAAATTTGAGGAACTAACTCTGTGAAAAGTCTTAGTCATGGAGGGAATGAGAAGCTGGTGGAGTTTTATTGGCGTGGTTGAGGTGACAAGGGGACAGGTTTTAATGTGTCAGTGATGCGCTTCCCGTGGTCCTGTGGAGAGCAAACAGCTCTGCCTTGGGTTTAGGGATGGCCCAGCATGTTCCTGTTCCATTAAAGGAAGTTTTAGGAGGGCAAGTGTTACTCTTACAATTGAAGGGATTGACTTGGGAAGAGACTTTGCTGGTTCAAAACAGTAATATAGGGGTTTAAGTTCTTCTGTTTGCCTCACAAATTATTGTTAGTGCTGGTGCTTTTGGACAGGTTGAGCCCTGGGTTCAGCAGGACTGAGTCCCTCAGTTAGTAAAACCCCTGGGTGGGAGTGAGTTTTGTTGCTAATTTGGAGGCTTTTGTGGGAAAGCAAAGGCTGGAGGGAGCACCTCTGTGAGCTTTCCTGCCTTCACACCGTGAAGTGCCACGGAAATCTTACATTAAAGAATTCCTGTCAATGTTTGTGAACTTGGGGCTGGGTTGGCCCCAAACCTGTTGCCTTCCTGTAACCCTGTGGGAGGTGGAGTGGCAAACCAGCTGTTCCTGGAGGGTGCCAGAGCCATCTTGAGAGGCTCCCTGGATTTCAGCACGGCGTGAAGTCCTCCGGGAGCCGGCGCTTGGCACGTGAGAACATGATTCAACCAGAAATGGAGCGGGGCCCGCTGCAGAGCCAGGCTTTCAGCTGGGAGCTGAACCTGCCTTTGATCTCCCCTGCACTGGGCTGGCCTGTCAGGGGCTGGGGCAGCACTGAGGTTGCTGCTCACAGGTTCAAATTACTGAGGATAATGTCCATTAGCGCGGCTGGAACCGCTCCCCGGAGGGGACCTGGCTTGGAATGGGAAATGACAGATGGTTTTTTCATGTAAGCAAATCTTAGGGATGTCTGAGAACTTCCCTAATTGTCAAATTAGGCGTTTGTTTTTGTAACCTAAAGGCTACTTGGATGTTTAAAAAGGGAGACCGAGGCACGGAGCGGGGTGGTTTGTCTTTTTTTTTGGCCTCTCTGGGTTAGAAACCTGCTCGTGCTGCTGCCTCTAAAAGGCTCCTCTTGCGACCCTGTGGATTACTCCCCATTTCCAGGTATTTTTTAGTATGTGCCCACAGCACTGGAGCAGTTGGTGTTCTGAGGAATAGGCTTTAAATCCCTATTTAACTGCAAGTTCTTGGAATACTGTGAGCTCTGCAACTTTAAATTGTGGGAATAAAGCTGTTTCCGTGGGTAGCAAGTTTAAGGAAGGCAATTAGGGACACACATAATTTTGGCAGTGTGCTTCCACTGGATCCTTTTCCTCCTTCTTCCACTTCTGCCTGCATCCTTCCCACCAGCTTTCCCTCCAACACCAGAATAAGGTCTAAATATGTTACACAGGCAAGAAAAGCCCTCGTTGGGAGTAGCTACAAACAGAAGATATTTGGATGCAAGGTAAGATAGTGGTTTTAAAGCCTGAGCAGGAGCTCTGGGGCAGCTCGGTGTCCTGCCCCACTCCACGCATCAGGAACTCCACGTGGGGAGCCGTCTGAGCCTTTGTCTTTAACCTCCCTGGCAATAAAACAGATTTTTCGAGCCCTTGTAACAAAGGAGGTGTTCAAGGCTGGGCCTGCTTATCTGCCCAGCCCTAAGGTAGGGAGGGGTGGGGCACGGGAAGTCTGGAGCTGGCTTTATTCCTGGTCCCTTGAAATGGGTTCGGCTCCTCCTGGCTCGCCAGCGCTCATGTTGTTGTGGTTTCCTTTCAGAACAATGCATACACTGCAATGTCTGATTCCTACTTACCGAGCTACTTCAGCCCCTCCATCGGATTCTCCTACTCCCTAGGGGAGGCTGCCTGGTCCACGGGGGGAGACCCCCCCATGCCCTACCTGACCTCGTACGGACAGCTGAGCAACGGGGAGCCCCACTTCCTCCCTGACGCCATGTTCGGGCAGCCGGGGGCCCTGGGCAGCACCCCCTTCCTCGGGCAGCACGGCTTTAACTTCTTCCCCAGCGGGATCGACTTCTCAGCCTGGGGCAACAACAGTTCTCAGGGACAGTCCACTCAGAGCTCGGGCTACAGCAGCAACTACGCCTATGCCCCCAGCTCGCTGGGGGGGGCCATGATCGACGGGCAGTCGGCCTTCGCCAGCGAGACCCTCAACAAGGCCCCCGGCATGAACACCCTGGACCAGGGCATGGCGGCCCTCAAGCTGGGCAGCACGGACGTGGCCAGCAGCGTCCCCAAGGTGGTGGGCTCGGCCGTGGGCAGCGGCTCCATCACCAGTAACATCGTGGCCTCCAGCAGCCTCCCCCCGGCCACCATCGCGCCGCCCAAGCCGGCCTCGTGGGCCGACATCGCCAGCAAACCCGCCAAGCAGCAGCCCAAGCTCAAGGCCAAGAACGGCATCGCCGGCTCGAGTCTTCCGCCGCCCCCCATCAAACACAACATGGATATCGGCACCTGGGACAACAAGGGCCCCGTGGCCAAAGCCCCGGCGCAGGCCCTGGTGCAGAACCTGGCGCAGCAGCCGGCGCAGGGGTCCCCGCAGCCCGTGGGCCAGCCCATGGCCGGCAGCCCGCCGGTGGCCCAGGCTGCGGGCGGGCAGCAGCCGCCGGCCCCGCTGCCCGTGCCCCCGGCGCAGCCGGCCCCGCTGCCCATGCCCCCGGCACAGCCCACCCGCTGGGTCGCCCCCCGCAACCGCGGCGGCGGCTTTGGCCAGAACGGCGTGGACGGTAACGGGGTGGGGGCGGCCCAGACCGGCTCCGGCTCCCCTTCGGAGCCGCACCCGGTCCTGGAGAAGCTGAGGTCCATCAACAACTACAACCCCAAGGATTTTGACTGGAACCCGAAGCACGGGCGGGTGTTCATCATCAAGAGCTACTCGGAGGACGATATCCACCGCTCCATCAAGTACAACATCTGGTGCAGCACGGAGCACGGCAACAAGAGACTGGACGCGGCCTATCGCTCCATGAACGGCAAGGGCCCCGTGTACTTACTGTTCAGCGTCAACGGTAGCGGCCACTTCTGCGGCGTGGCAGAGATGAAATCTGCTGTGGACTATAACACCTGTGCAGGGGTGTGGTCCCAGGACAAGTGGAAGGGACGCTTTGATGTCAGGTGGATTTTTGTGAAGGACGTTCCCAACAGCCAGCTGAGGCACATCCGCCTAGAGAACAACGAGAATAAACCAGTGACCAACTCCAGGGACACTCAGGAGGTGCCTCTGGAAAAGGCTAAGCAGGTGTTGAAAATCATTGCCACCTACAAGCACACCACCTCCATCTTTGATGACTTCTCACACTACGAGAAACGCCAAGAGGAGGAGGAAAATGTTAAAAAGGTAACGTGTCTGTGGGGCTTGGACGAGTCCTGCGGGGCAGGAGGGGCTGCCACGGGCTGGACTAAATCCAGGGTGTGAACCAGGCTTGTGAACAGGCTTGGTAGGCATCAGCTGCCTTATGGCTACCTGCCTGCCCTCACCTGCAACCCACACCCAAATGGCAGCCCCTGTTTGGGGGGGAAGTGTCCAGAGGAGGCCGCCAAGTTGATTAGAGGGATGGAGCATCTCTGCTGTGGGGAAAGGCTGAGAGAGTTGGGATTGTTCAACCTGGAGAAGAGAAGCTTTGGGATGACCTAAATGCAGCCTTCCATGTCCTTAAGGGAGCCCACACAAGAAGGATGGAGAGGGACTTTTTATAAGTGACAGGACAAGGGGGAATGGCTTCAAACTGAAAGAGTAGGTTTAGATTGGATATTAGGGATATATTCTTCCCTGTGAGGGTGGGGAGGCCCTGGCACAGGTTGCTCAGAGAAACTGTGGCTGTCCTTGGATATCCCTGGAAGTGTCCCAGGCCAGGCTGGAAGGGGCTTGGAGCAACCTGGGCTGGTGGAAGGTGTCCCTGCCCGTGGCAGGGGGTGGAACTGGATGTTCTTTAACATCCCTTCCAATCCAAACCAGTCTGTGAATCAGGTGCCAGCTCCTGGCAGAGCAGGGTGAGGAGCCTTGCCCAGGCCCTGCCTCTGATGGACCACATGGGTTGCCCTGAGTCTCAGCCTCCCCTGAGTGCTGTGCTCTAAACAAAATGTATTTCTGTGCCCCTGTCAGCTCCTGGGTCAAAGCAGTTTGTACTTGGAGATCAGGGGGGGGTTTGGGGAGTTGTAGAAACCAGAGATGGCTCTAATCCACCCCGTGCCCACAGTGGGGTCAGCGTGACAGATGTTTCCCACCACTTGTAGAACCTCCAGGAACAGCAGTTCCTGTCCCTCCCTAGGCAGTCTATTCCTATGCTTAATTATCCTTCCTGTAAGGAGGCTTTGTCTAATGCCCAGCCTAAATCTCCTTCACTGTAACTGAAGTCTGTGACTGCTTGTCCTGTCTCCAGTGGACATGGATCGGGTCATTCCGTTCCTCGTGGCTGTGTTTGGGGCCAGGGTGGGCTGTCACCTGCTGTCACCACCAGTGTGGCACCTGTGCTGAGCTCACCACCTGCCTGCAGCTCCTCTGGGTGCTGCTGGGGTTGGCTCAAAGCCTCCTCTCATCGTCTGCTCCTTAATTGAAAATCCTGCCCCAAATTCAGTGGCCAGTGGGGCTTTGAATCTTGCTTGGGTTCAGCTGTGGTAAAGTCACCTGGGGCTGCCCCTCCCCACAGTTGCAGGTCTGGCTTGTGTTTGATCAAAAATGATAATTACAAATTAGCATTAGCACAGCTGGCTGGGAGTTTGCCAAGTTTCCTGATGGTCTCTTTGGTTTCAGCAACGGGGAATTTTTCACCCAGCAGTTGAAGAACAGAGTCAGGAGCTGCAGCTGCTCACAGTGACAGTTGATGCAGTTTAGAATTTTTGATGTATATTTTACATGGAGCATTTAAGCACAAAGGTTTGCTTCCCACTGCCAGAGGGCAGGGTTAGGTGGGAAGTTGGGAAGGAATTGTTCCCTGTGAGGGTGGGCAGGCCCTGGCACAGGTTGCCCAGAGAAGCTGTGGCTGCCCCTGGATCCCTGCAAATGTCCAAGGCCAGGTTGGACAGGAATTGGAGCAAACTGGTCTAGTGGAAGGTGTTCCTACCCTTAGCAGTGGATGGAATGAGATGGGCTTTAAAGTCCCTTCCAACCCAAACCATTCCATGGTTCTGTGACATCCTCCAGACTTAAAGGAGCAACAGTTTACAGCATGAGAGAGTCAGACCTTGGCCCTGTAAGAGAATGCAGGGGAGAGGGGAAATGCTGCTGCAGGACAGATGAGGGACAGATGGATGAGAAGAGTTAATACTGAGTACCTGTAAGCAGAAAGAAGAGGGAAAGAGTGGGAAAGGCTGTGGGAAAAACGGACAGGCCGACGGTTTCTTCCTGTGGAAAACTCCTGTGTTTGCTGTGTAAAGCCTGAAAATCAGGAAGACACCGGAAACGAGGCTTAGCAATCCTCTTAAAGTTGTAAACCATCTTCCCAGTTGCATTTTGAAGTCTCCTCCCCTGCTTGCTTCGCTCTGGGCTGTGCCGTGGAGGGTCGGAAGCAGCGGCAATACCCGGAGCGCCAGCGCCGCCTTCCCGATCCACGTCCAGAGTGGATGCAGCAGCAGCTGATTAGGAAAGCGCTTTATTCTTTGAAAAGGAACTTAGTCATAGGTCTCTGGAATCCACAGATGAGGAGGGAGCTGTGTGGAAACAGGGCTGGTGTTTGCTCTTTGCCGTTGACTCCCTCGCTGTTCGGCGCTCCGGGCCCCTGGGACATCCGGCACGGGGGAAGTGACTCGGTTGTTCTTGCAGAACAGTTTGACCTCCTGGGTCGCTCTCTGACGCAGCCTGGAAAGCGGTTGAGGTTTCTGTAACTGCTCTCTTCGTGGTTTCCATTGAGAACCAGTTGTTTTTGCTCTGGCAGGGTTTGGGGTTTGCCTGGAGTGATGCTCACGCTGGGATTGTAGGTGCCAAAAAAGCCCGAGCCGTGCTCTGTCTGCCTTGAAGCGTCTCAGGTAATCACCTGAATTAAAAAAAAAAAAAAAAATCCATGAGGAACCAGGGTTGAAGCACTGAAAAGTTCAAATGCTGCTCTGGCAGCAGCTCCCTGCCTGCTTTTTGTGCTGCTTTTGTGCTGGGGAAATCCCATTGCTCCCAGCTCTTTGTCTCTGCCACAGTGTGAGGTGTTAATGCTCTGCAGTCGTGTTCCTTGAAGCTTAAATGTCTTAAGGTTTGGCTTGTTTGAAACTTCCCCCAAGCTGAAATTGTCTCACTCAGGTTTAACTTGCCCAGACCTTTGGCTGATTTGCAGTTTGATTCCTGATTGCTTCCTGAAATGGATGAGCTCTTGTGAAAGTCTGGGAGCTCTTGAGTATTCTTTTATACTCCTCATTTCTTCAGCATTCCCTAAAGCAGGTCCAAGAAATGATATGAAAAATGCTTTGCTTGGTATTTGTGTTATTCCCATTGTCCAGTGAAGGGTGTAGGTAGTTCAGTGTTGGAAACACTGGAATAATCCTCTTGCTTGTTAGTAATAATAATAATAACAATAACCCTGTTGCCTGTGCCCATCCTATCCTTGGAGGTCCATCTCCATTCCTTCTCAGTATCTTGCTTTGCTCTACTGATCCAGTTATTTAAAAAGCTTGGATGTTCTCCTGACCCAAAATGATGAAGCCAACTCCCAGTGCAATCCTACCCAGAGCAGTTTAGGACTCCTTGAAACCCAGAGCAGCTGCTCTTATGGCAGAGCATGTCACTGATGTCTTCCCTGTAAGAATTATTTTATGTTTTTTTTTTTAAATGACCACAAAAATCCCTGGCCTGCAGTCATGCACTTGGATTTCTAGGAATGCTGCCATGACCTGGGTGCAAAGATCCCCAATAAAGGTCTGCCTGGTGTTTTGTGGAAAAGCAATCGATGGAAACTCTGAGGGAAGTTTGTTTTGGTTCTTTTCTCCCTACCCAGGCTTGGGATACTTGACTACTTGCAGGTTCCAGGGCTTTTAGGAAGGATATCCCATGAAAAGCAGTCAGATGGTCAGGGTTGCAGTTGAGAAAGGGACTCTGTGTTGGGACTTTGGGTGTTGAGTCAGGCTGAGCTGGGCAGGATGGGGTGGGCTTTGGTGGGGTTTTCCATGCTGAGCTTCACCAGCCTGAAGCAGAAAGGTGGGATTGGCCAGTCTGGAGCTGTTATTTCCAGAATTGTGCTTCTTTGTGGCTCAGCTGACAGTGCTGGTTAAAGGAGTATTAATAGTGTCAAGTGTCACTGCCCCCTTGGAACATGTGATTTAAGGCATAACTGAGGGGTGTTGTGTGAGCCTGTGAAACAGCCTGTTTCACAGTCCCTGGAATACAGGAATGCTTTCTGATGGACTTCACAAAGCCCTTTTCTTCTTCCTAATTTATAACCTCAGAGGGGAGGGGAGAGAATATTCCCTATAGGGTGGACCAGCACTTTCTCCTGCTCTCGGTCATCCTGGGAATACTGCGTTGCCTTGGCTTTCCCATATCCTGCAGGGCAGTATTTCTGACCACAGGGTTCAATTCCTGGATATTCCACATCCAGGCAAAGCCAACTGTTTCCCGTGGCAGTGAGGGAACACACTGCTTGCACTCCCACAGTTCCTTTCATCCCATGATCCCAAGGCTGTTTGCTCTTTTCTGCTCCAAATCCTGGCCATAGTGAAGTTAATTGATTGATGCACCAGGACAGGGTTCCCTCTCTGTGCTGCTCAGCAATGCACATGGTTTCTCTCAGTTTATTTCCAGGCTGTTTAAGTCCTTTGGGTCTGTGTCCATGCTCAGGAATTATATTTGCTCAGGAATAGAGGGGAAACCAACCATCCTGCTTATTCCAGGGGTTTGGCACTGGCTGTTTGACATAAGGAATGCTTTGTGCTTAGGATGTTTTCAAGCCAGCACTCCACAGCCCCTGACAACACTCGTGGGTTTTCCGTGGTTGCAGCTTTGTCTAAAGGCAGGAGAGAACTGGAGGGGAAGGCTTAGATCTGGCTGATGCTCTAATCCATGTTTTCTGCTGTCAGACAGCAGAAAACTGTGTTTCCTCATCCCTAAAACCAGGAGCAGCTGGGAGCCATTTCACTGCAACTGAAGTGGAAGCTGAGTGGTGGGAAGAGCAAACCTGTTGCACTTGCCTCATAGCCCTGTCTCTCTCTGTTAGCATCTTGTTAGAAGTCTGTAATATTTTAATGTAACATGTATTAATATTATAAAATAATTCAGTATTTAAAGTCCTCATGTTGAAGCTGGTTTAAAGGGCTGTCGAGATGCCCTGTTTAAAGTTCTTTTCCAATTGTTTTCCCCCTGTCCATGGCAGGAGGTTGGAACTAGAAGATTTATAAGGTCCCTTTCAAACCCAGGCTGTTGTA